AACACAATTCCTATGGTGTGCTACGTATTTATTCACAAAGAATTTATATAGCAATGAGAATAAAATGGGATTGTTATTTTTTATCACTCTTTGTAGTATATGAACCAGGAAATAAAAATCAATGCATCTGCTGAGGAAGACAGCTCAGGTATTATGGGTGTTTTGTTTGTATTCAATCAAGAGGGAATGTGTGTGTTCATATACACTGTATTTTCTAAAATATTTCATTGAAAACACCCCATTGTCTTACAGCCACAAACTGTAATTCTTCTTATCATTTTTAGCATCCCTTTAACCTCATTTTTTAAGGTCTAAAATATGTCTTGGAAACGAGAGATGGTGAGTGTTTGCTTAGTTAAAGGTTGATATTCAATGCTCAATTCAATTGGGATGGACATGATTGTTTCTGCACTGCTATGAATGGTCCCAAGCAGAGGATACAGTAAAGAATTACGGAGGCATTGTGGAGAACAATACTTGCTCGCCATTATATTCAAAATTTCAGTCTTTTATAGAATTCTAATCTTCATGGTCGTACTTTTCCACTGCCCATTGTTCAGATAGGTTCAGCTAGGGAAAGTGGCCTTGTCAAAAATATTGGAAAAACTGCACCAGAAAGTCCTTTAATGTTGCTTGAACAAGTTAGACAATTCTGCATACAGTTTTAAGAAATATTGAAATTTGTCACTTTAATAAATTGTGCAGTTTTTGCCACTAAATTCTTCTCTGAAATGCATATGATGCCAGCAAGTTTTCATAGTCTGCCAGAGCTGATGGTGCTAAAAGTTCCAACACTGCTATAATAGCGTGTAACTCAGTCCAAAAGCCAAGGCTAGGCAATAAAATTATCGAGTTCAAAAACTGAATACCCAAATGAACAAGCAAACTGTCGTTATCATAAATGTGCTTAAAAGGTAAGTATAATTCAAAAGGCAAGCTTGCAATTATAAAGGTGCAAAAACTATTCTCTGAGTCACTAAGACAATTTCCAACTAATCCCTTCAGTGAACTAAGATAATTATAAGTGCATAGACTATATTTCCATTGATGATATTTGCCTTGGATAGACTGTTAAAATTAAAGTGCCTTGAGGTGGAAACCATACTTATTCTCTTAATGTGTTTCAATCAAGTTCATTACTTTGCAGTCTTCACCTTGTCAGCATGAATGAATACGGACTATATAAAAGTTAGTGCTGTGTCCTAGGAGTGGTCTGCTTTTCTTTACTAGGTCAGCATCAACTAGCTGAGAAATACAGATGGTATACCCCCGTGAATTTTGAGAGCTTTTGCTATTGTCTATATTTCAAGGTCTGTGAAATCTATTTTAGAGTCGGACACATGACCTCAAGGATTGTTAATGATTGATTGGTCTAAGAACTGTGGCTTATATTCCTTCTGAGTTTCATTCTGAGAGGGCTCTAAGTGGCTGTCAGGGGACACCTGTGGATGTCAGTATTGCCAGCTTCCTACTTTTAATATTGAGAGTATTTTCTATGTTTAATATTGGCAAGTCCCATATTTCCTCTGGTCCATTTCATGGAATGTGTACTTTATCGATGAAAGAAAAATTTAGCTGCCAGTATAACATTCAGTCTTCCAAAGTGACTAGCAGGTGAGGTATATCATGTTAAGAATAGAAAAGTATATTTTTTAAATGGGATGAAAGACATTCAGAAAAGAGAATGTATAGTATGGAGGATACACATATTATTCTCTTAAAATTATAACCACTTAGGTCGCACAGAGTGCTGAAGTAGTTAACATCTTGCTCTCTTCTATAAAACATGTTGGCTTATTTTTTCACATTTTTTCCTAAAATTTCCAGTATCTTCCATAAGATCCTGGGAGTTTATAAACCCAGTGTATGTATCTATATTTTAGGGGTATACAGATTTAAAGCATTTATAAATCAAAATTAAAGTAAAAATTGTTAGAATATAGCCATAGAATAGGAGTTGACTGTAGGATAAGATAAGTAGTCATGACAGTCCCTTAAATACAGCAACTGGGAGTTGGATGGGCTCTCCAGGTGAGTCACTGTTATGCAGAAACATCCAGAAAGTATGGAGAAGTTTTAAAGACCCTTGGCTTTCTTGCTTCTACAGTAACTTTCTGGAATCTCTTAAATAGTAAAGAAAGTTCTAGGTCCTCACTGTAATTGAACTCCAGTTCTAATAGTTGGGAAAGAAAGAGAAGGATGGCACATATATACTAAGGTACAAAGTTTCCTAAAAATTCATATGGAACCATAGATGTCAATGGTTGAGATACATAATTATAAAAAAAAGTGAAGTAAACGGCATGTAGAAAAATTACAAACTTTCTAATGTGACTATTTCAAAATGCTTCAGAATATCCAGACTAGAATTCCAGCTTATGTGTGGGTACTCAGGGTACGTGCACACATTTTAATTTTCTCATTGTTAATAGATTTCTGTCTGGTTTAGTTTGAAATATTAGGGTTTGACACAGGGCTTATTTAGGCAAATACCATCTCGGGATGTTAATTATAATGTCGTTTTCCCATTTTAAAGGGTCTATGAGAGTTCATTAGAGGGGACAGATTCCTTTAAACATTTTGAATTCAGCTATATTTGTAATGTCACTGTTGCCATATGAGTGAAATGTCCATGTATTTTCTTAGTATAGTGAGACAACTATATATACCTAAGCAAAGTGTAATCCTTCTGAGATAGGGAGATTTCTACCATACCAACGCCCCTGCTGAAAAAGTTGTTGTGTGGCTAGTATTCTTATATTCCAAGTTTCAGGCTTTAAAAAGAGACATTTTTAATATTCTCAAATATGAAAACAAGTGATGTCCATGAATTTCTTTGGGAGCATAGGTCCATTGTATTTGTGTTTGCTCTTGGCATAATTCACTTAATTTAAGCAATGATGAAGAACTTTAAAACTAAGATGTGTGAAGTACAGAAAAATGTATTCAAGTATTTCAGAGACACATTGAGACAATGTAGTTTATCATTAATTCAAACCAACTAGCTTACCCTCAGAGAACACCAACAGCATATCTTGGTCTAATCTATCTTGAGTACAAGAATATATTTTCATGGTTTTGGTTCATACAATCCTCAGTGAAGAAGGACATGTTTAACTCTGGGGTGAACAGTCCTCAAAATAAGTAAAGTACATAGCAATAACTGCTTTCGGCTGTGGCATTTGCATTTAATGCCAAACATTTTTCTTTCCTAATAGTTTTAAATTACTTATAAAGGAGGGTAATTTGGTCTTTTACTAGCAAAAATTGCTAAACATACATTATTTTTTAAAGTTATTTAAAAAAATACAATTAGACAGACCAAAGTTCAATAACATTGAGACATTTTAGCTTTAAATGGCAGTTCTTACTTTTAGTTTGATAGTGGTTAAAGGGCAGTAACTGGTACCATCCATTTCAAGAACTGGCTTTTTTTTCCCTCTTAAATCTGAGTTAATCGTTTTCTTAACGGTTAAACTTTTCTCTGTCAATAATCTGGTACGAGTTTCCATCTAGTGAATCTGACCAGTAATTAAACATTCCTAAAAAGCATTCTAGAGCTTTTTAAAAATACAACATTAATGACAAAAATAATGCAAAAGTGGCAAAACTGGAAAAGAATCAGAATCTGGTTCAGTTTAACCTAGAACTCTATCATATATTTGCACTTAATTACACTGCACGAAATGAGTTAATGCCCCATTGTAGTTGAAATAATTCCATGGGGATGCTGATAAATTTTAAGTAAAAATTTTATTTAGAATTATTCACATCTAGTGGATGGCTTATATATTGAAATCATTAATTCAGAAATATAAAATAATCCTCACTTTGTAGAAATGACTTATTTATATAATTTAGAATTAAAATCTTCCATCTTTACATTTGGAGCTAGGAGTTGGAACCCATATCATATAACTTTGATGTGAAAACTGTTCTTATGAAAAAATCTTTCTAAATCCATATTTGTTTTCAGTAAATTCATTTTTATCAAAATGTAAATACTATAATCCCATTGAATTTTAAAGTCTCATTCTAAGCTAAAATATAAAAGCCTTACTGAACTTTATTCAATTATATCAAAACAGTAAACATAATTACTTACAGACAATTAAGCAACTATTAAAAATCTAACAAAACAAAGATGCTGGCTTGAATTTTTCAGTGTTTGGCAATAATTAAAATTATTAAAAAAATTAAAAATACACAGCTATAACACTTTTTAAAAACAATAATGTTTTCAGTATACCTACATTCATTCATAGAGATATAAAGTTATGAAAAGTAGATTTTGTATATAATATGATCGCTTAGGCCATTAAAAAAATTTCCAAAGAGGGAAATTTAGTATTTTAAACAACTAAATTTAGTATCTAAACAACGAAGTTTTTAATTTTAATCTTCTAATTTAAATTTTTTATTCCCTAAATTGGTTCTATAGCATGTGTATGTACAATCTTCTATCATTATTGAGCGAGTTTCCCACTGACTTATCTGATTATTTTTCTATTTTGTAACTACAGTATAAGAAAATATTTTAAAGCCTCAAACTACTGATTTTTTATCTTCAACGTTTCCCCTTTTTCCTTTTCCAAAGTTTTCTGTGCAAATTTTACTTTTGTGATATTTAATATTGAATTAAAAATCAAAGAATTCCAAAGTAGTTTTCACATGTACTATATTATGTGATATATTAGATACGAACACGTTGACAGTAATACTTCCACTTGTACGATTTACTGTGAAAAAGCAGATAATCTTAAATTAATATGAAATAGAATCCCTATAATATATATATTTTGTATCCATTAAAGTACTCAACTGCCTCATGACTTTGCATAGCAAATCATAATAATACCTTTCCATATGCCACATATGACAAATGGTCATCATTTGTACACCACACACACACACACACACACACACACACACACACAGCCCTATGGCAAAAAACCTTCCTTCTGAGTTGAGAGTTTGCACACTTGCACACCCCCAGAGACTTAATCTTGTTGCTGATGAATATCCTCATGCCTAAGAATTTTATAGATAACCCAGTAGAAAATATTAAAAATCAAAAAGGCTAATGGGAAGCAGGCTCGGGAGATGGTGTCAATCTTCTTGGCCCGGTCAATGAAGACCTTCCTCATTTCATCCAGGCTCTTTGGCATTACCTGGACAGGATGGTTTGGGCCCTTTGGAGTCACACCGTCTTTTGTTTGCAGACATGGTCCCATTCCATAGGCTGTGAAACTGAATCGGCTTTCCCTTACCTCATCATCCTGTCATAAGAAAAACATTAGAAAGCACTTTAACCCTGAGAAAACCATAATTCAAAAAGAGTCGTGTACCAAAATGTTCATTGCAGCACTATTTACAATAGCCAGGACATGGAAGCAACCTAAGTGTCCATCGACAGATGAATGGATAAAGAAGATGTGGCACATATATACAATGGAATATTACCCAGCCATAAAAAGAAACGAAATTGAGTTATTTGTAGTGAGGTGGATGGACCTAGAGTCTGTCATACAGAGTGAAGTAAGTCAGAAAAGAGAAAAACAAATACTGTATGCTAACACATATATATGGAATCTAAGAAAAAAAAAAAAAGGTCATGAAGAACCTAGGGGCAAGATGGGAATAAAGACAGAGACCTACTAGAGAATGGACTTGAGGATATGGGGAGGGGGAAGGGTAAGCTGTGACAAAGTGAGAGAGTGGCATGGACATATATACACTACCAAACGTAAAATAGATAGCTAGTGGGAAGCAGCCGCATAGCACAGGGAGATCAGCTCAGTGCTTTGTGACCACCTAGAGGGGTGGGATAGGGAGGGTGAGAGGGAGGGAGACGCAAGAAGGAAGAGATATGGGAACATATGTATATGTATAGCTGATTCACTTTGTTATAAAGCAGGAACTAACACACCATTGTAAAGCAATTATCCTCTAATAAAGATGTTAAAAAAAAAAAAAGAAAGCACTTTAGTCATGGAATAGGGCATGTATACCAGGCATTTCAGAACCATAACTTAAGCTTTATCATGATAAATGATAACATTATTATAATGAAAAGGTAAAACATATAAAGGTGAGTTGCTTTTCTTTCCTATTCAAGTTTTATTGATTTATCCCGCTGCATCATACAGACGTGTTCATTCAATGAAACACTCAAGTGTTATGTTTTAATGGAAAAATTAAATATTCTGGTATTGTCTACATATTGCTAGAATATCTAAATAAACTGAGCAAGAAAAAAATCTATTTGGATATTATATATGTTCATGTACTAGATTTTTTTCACATCATGTGTTTAAATGTGTACATATATGATGTCAAAGGGAAAATACCATGATCATAGTTTGAATTTTTCTTTTTCATGGAGGCAAACATTTTAATGCCTGTTTCCTACAATTTCATGTTACTTCATTGGGAAATACAATCTAGATCGACAACACTGCTTGGTTATTGTTATTCTCACTTGATGTTTTATACTAACCCATTTGGCATACTATCAGATGGCCAGATATTCTAGTTCATATACTGTTACTTATAAGGTACATTGGTTTTGTTGAAATTATGAAGGAAATCTGGCAGAAGTTTCATGTTAAAGAAAATTATAACTTATCATGGTCCTAAAAGTATTGTTATTTTTCTCTAAAATGTTGCAAATTGAAGAGAATTCTCCGTGTATATATATGAAAAAAACAAAATTTAAAGAAAAAATTACTTAATAAAAACATGATAGGGCTTCCCTGGTGGCGTAGTGGTTGAGAGTTCACCTGCCAATGCAGGGGACGCGGGTTCTAGCCCTGCTCTGGGGAGACCCCACATGCTGTGAAGCAGCTGGGCCCATGCACCACAACTACTGAGCCTGCGTTCTAGGGCCCGCCCGCTGCAACTACTGAAGCCCGTGCACCTAGAGCCTGTGCTCCGCAACAAGAGAAGCCACCGCAGTGAGAAGCCCGTGCACAACAATGAAGAGTGGCCCCTGCTCACCACAACTGGAGAAAAGCCCGCGCACAGCAACGAAGACCCAATGCAGCCAAAAATAAAATAAATAAATTAATTTTAACAAATGATAAATGAAATGTGTTCATGATAGGAAAATATGGTATTTAATCCTTTATAATGAAATTCATTAATGAATAATTTAATGCATTTGTTTGGAATGTAACTGTAGATAACTGCCAATTAATTGGATTTTTGCTACTAAAAGTCAATGTTTAAAAGATGACATCTTAAAAAGTTGTTACAGCTCAATTTTTATGAAAGTACTCTGTGATGGTAACATACGAGTTAAAAGTAATTAACTGGCTCAAACTCTTGAAAATTTATTTTAGGTCTGTGATAGTACAGGCCTAATGAACAGTATATTACAAAATATGAAAGCGAAAAATAGAAATTTAAATGGATTCTAAAACTGAGAGGATGATCAAAGTTGATGTAATAATGTATAAAACAGTTTTTTGGGGAATTAGGAAATAAGGCAATTATACCTGAAAAACAGAAAGATATAATTACTGGAATATATCTCAACTGTAAGATGTATAAGCAATTGAATTTTGAGGAAACAAGTCTAAAATAAAAGCTGATGATCCAAATTACATGTAACTGTTGCAGTCTTACAAAAATTGGAAATTGGTTTTCTAGTGGTCTTTAATAGGGATGTTCATTTATACTGCCAATGTTTTTAGCCACCATGGAAATGTTAAGGCTAAGTAACTGTTTTCTTTTTATTGTCTTTATCTTTATGGGGAAATAATCGATACATCACCGTATAAGTTTAAGATATACAGCATGATGGTTTGACTTGCACATATTGTGAAATGATTACCATAATAGGTTTAGTGAACATCCATCGTCTTGTATAGATACAATAAAAAGAAAAGAAAAAAATTCTCCTTGTGATGAGAACTCTTAGGGTCTACTCTCTTCATAACTTTCCACTATATCATACATGATATATTACAGCAGTGCTAACTCAAGTCATCATGTTGTACATTATGTCCCTAGAACTTATTTAAAACTGGAAGTTTGTACATTTTAACCACCTTCCTCCACTGTCCATCTGTTCTGGAGAATTGAATATTTTCAGACCTTTAGAGAGCCTCCCACATACACACTTGTCTCAAAACAGAGATTTGAGATTTAAGATTTAACATACATAGTGAACAACTATATTTTCTCAGTTGGATCTTTCCAGCAAACTGTGAGTAAAGGGGTAACACCAGGCCTGGCTGTTGAGAACTGCAGAGAAAGACCTAGTTTTTCCAGCATGATTTCCTTGAAAACAGGAATGTGGAGTCTTCTCCCTTTACTGTGGCACCTGCCCTGGGGGAGCAGTTCAGTGGCCTGAAGCCTGGAGGGGCGGGGGGAAGAAGCTCTTGAGTCGCTGTTGGACCTCCCCATGAAATGAAGATGCTGTGTCTGGCGTGTCACCTGCCTCGCATGCTCCTAGAGGACCAAGTAAACGCAATATTAGGTTAAAGCCTACTGTGTCTGGAGGGTCTGATTGACAGTTTGAACCTAAAACCTCAGTGGTGGTGACGGAAGGAGACCTGGCTTTCAGATCCTTTCAGACCCAATGCAGCCAAAGGTTCTGGGAGGGAGTTCTGATGAGAACGTGACCTTGACCCTCCCTGGCTTTGAGGTTGCAAAAGCTCCACAGAAAATACTGGGGATAAATCATACTGTTGGGATACGGATGACACACACATATGCCCTGTTGAACTGGCAGATGGATGATGAGTGAGATAAAACCGAAGGGAAACAGGGTCATAAAACTGAGGAGAAAGCGGCTTTGTCTCCTAGTAACCGATTAGCTTTGTGCAGCTAAAACCACTTGGGGGAAAGAGAAACCAGAGCACGTACATCAAGCAGCTTTGCAGCCGGTGCTCACGATGAAAGCACAAGTCCAGCGGGGACTTGGAGGGACACCGCACTTCGTCTTGATGTCACTCCTCTGCCACCCCAGGCAAATGACACTGGAAACTAGTGACTACAGTGCAGTGGAAATATAATGGGAACCACCAACGAAAGCTATGTGTGTCATTTTAAATCTAAACTTTACATTAGCTACATTTAAATGAAAAGAAATAGGCAAGATTAATTTTAATACGTCCTAAATATTATTCAAACGTTGACTCAAGTAGAAATTAAAGGAGAAATTTTGTGTTCTTTATTGCATAGTAAGTCCTTGAAATCAGTGTGCACCTTACATTTATAACACCCCTCAATTCAGACTCCATATTTCTAGGGCTCAACAGCCTCATGGGGCTAGTAGACACCACACGGGACAAAGTAAATAGGAGCTGGGCCGCTTTGCTGAGAAGAACCAGCAGATATCTGGGCGGTTCACACTTGCCAGGATCTTTAGGTTAATTGACATAAGAGCTGATCATTTTTCTGCATGCTGCAGCTGAAAAACAACGTTTGATGTGAATGCGAACTCCTAACTTGCTGCAATGTTGCCGTTTGGGAATTGCTGGCAGGCGTAAATTCAAGGATGCTTTTGGAGTGGGTGAAGCCTTGGGTGATGTGAATCTATGCTGAGAAGGAAAGCCGCCTGTTGTCTTTCTGCTGTGTACTGGAACAGCCCTGAAGAAGACGCAGCTCTCTTAAGGGATGTAGCAAACCTGGGCTGGCCATACAGTAATTAAAAAAAAATAATAATAATGCAAAAAGAAAAAAAAATGAGCCTCCCCAAACCACATGCTCTGAGCTAAACTCTGGTAGACACGGTGATTCGGGGAGTCCCCCAGGCCTGGGTTCCCAGGTGGCTCTCTTTAGGGAGAGGCAGGAGAGTATATACAATTCATGGACACGTTTACTCTTGCAGCTGACATGCTGGGTTTCACTGAAGGAAAAAAAATCTGGGCCATTCAGAAGAAAGAACTTGGCCAGAGAAGACTCTATCAGCTCTCTTTAGGTGGCTTTCAAGACACAGAGTGAAAAGAGCGAAAACTGACAGGATTCCTATGAAAGATTTCCTGACACGTTGTCGCCAGCCGGGGGGGGGGGGGGGGGGGGGGGGGGGGAGAAAATCTGTTCTAGTTCCGGCAGCTGCTTCCCTTAAGGAACCCTGTTAAATCTGGCACTCTCATCTCGGAAGTTAATCCAGTGGTGCCAATGGGAATGCAAACAAAAGGCGCTGACGCGGTGGCTGAATTGACTGCATCTGCGAAGACACAAAGAAGCCTGCCCACGAAGGCCAGGGTCTCCTTGTCCAGTTCTGAGTGGAGTCCCAGGCTGTGTGCCATGGTTAATGGAGAATGGC